GATGTAAAGGGACCAGCAGTTGGCATAATGGCTTTGCCGCTGGACTCCCACGTGGTCGACCCCCGCGGTTTGTGTCCTGGACCTGATGGCTTAAAACTCATGCCAGGCACGTGTGCATGCGTGCCCAGGATCCCGAGAGGAGAAGGGATTGCGGTGTGGCCATCCCCCCTGGGGGGTGATTTCTCGCTTTCTGTCTCTCTGTCTCTCTCTGTCTGTCTGGCAAGCGCATGCACCCTATAGCAAAAACCTCTAAACCCCCCCCCCAAAAAAAAAGAAAGAGAGAGAGAGATGTAAATATTGACAAAAGGACTCATCCTAAGAATAACTTTTCATTTGGGGTATTCAGAGATACCCAGTGCACCCTCAAGTCCCTCTGACTTACTGATTTTTTTTTTTTTTTAAGAAAAGGTATGCTTCCTGTAGAAGGCCATTTCTTTTTCTTTAGAGATCCTGTCGTGAAAAGTCTTACCTGGAGACATTCTGTTTTGGCACACACACAAACTAGCAGAGCCCCAGAAATGTTTTGGGCATATTTTTTCATTTTCTGGAAATGCCAGGGTTCCAGCAGTTACCACGGAATTGCTTATACAGTCTTAAAAATTGTCTAGGGCTTTTTAACACAGACATTGTAACTGTAAAGAAGCTAATGAGGTTACATACCTCTGAAAGAGCTTTTTAACTAACTGAATCATTCATTGCAGAGTCCTCGATTCTTTGTTCACTTATAAAATAATATTAAATCTGTTCTGCTTATAAAAACCTTGCTTGAACTTCAAGTTTATACGTATCTAATGTGAGACCTTTCTTTGAATTTGTGTTCAGATCCACACAGCACAAAGACCAGGTCACTTTGCACATTAAATGGCATTGTCACCTGTATCCTAACACATACTAACCGGCCGCGGAGAGTTCCGATGCTCTGAATTGGGCCACTGAGACGAGCGCTCATACTGCCGTGACAACACACACCAGCTGTCACCGTACTTCTGCTTTTCGTACAGTCTGCCCCGTGTAGACAGGGAAAAGTGAAACCGTGAGATTCTTCTGTAAGATATCTCAAATTCCAAATGGAAAATACACACATCCGATTGTCCGCTAGTGTCTGCTCTGTGGGCTGAGGGACGTAATAGAGAGAAGATGAGAGCAATCAGCACGAAGGCCGCGGCCGTCCGCTCTGCACAGCGCACCGTGAAAAGGCGGGGCTTGCTGAGCGCACTGTCAGGTGGGAATGGAGACGACAAGTCAACAGGAACGCAGAGAACCCGAGCAGTCTGCTGCTCAGGAATGGCAGCTTTATTGTTATTGTTATTATTACTTGTTATGGGGCATGTGCTCTTGCCAGAGACAGAAAGAGAGAGAGAGTGATCGCCCCTCAGTGGGGATGGCCATGCTGCAATCCCTTCACCTCCATTATTCTCCTTGGAATTCTGGGCACACACGTATATGTGCCCAGCATGCTTTTAGAATCTGGATCCAGGACTCAAACTGCACAGTTGGCCATGTGGGACCCAGTCACGTCACCCTCCACACCACCTGCTGGCACCAATGGCAGCTTCATTTTAATGAAAGTCTACGGGACTTAGCCCCTTCAGAGCATAGACTCTTTCTAGTTTTTGTATCTCTAGCACCTGATGCAGGTACAAAAACACCCTTAGAATTTGATTCATTAGTAGTGATGGGAAGCATGAGCGATAATTGGTAAGTCTTGATGCTATTTTAAAACAAAATCAGAGATTGTCTCTTCGTAAATGTCTTAACCAGAACAATTTCTGCACCCGGGGCTCCCAGTGCTTCTCTGTGAATGAATTATTAGTGAAAACTTTGCTCCTTGTTTTACAAAGAGATTCTTAGGACCATATGTGTGAAGTCAAACACAAACATGGCATTTAATGATTATTTCACAGAGTTATCTATAAACAAAGCAGCACATTCCATTCTAAGCATGTTTAAAAGGTCGGTGGAAAATCAGAAACAAAAAAGTTGCAGAAAACAGGCCTCTGTCAACAGAGACTGGGAAAGGCTCCATCAGTTCCCATCAGCCCCAGGTTCGGGGTAAGTAGTCAAAGGAGGTGTGGGGTGGCAGAGTGGCCGGCAGAGTGAGAGGCTGTTCTGGCACTCCCTGGCTGGGGAGCAAGGTGGTTGGGACTACACACTAGGTCCCAAGGACCTGAAGTGACAGTGGGAGGGATGTGGAGCACAGAACCTCACTGGGGAGGGATCAGAGAACCCCAGGCGACTGCCCCCCAGGAACCTATCACAGTGAATCTGAGGCCCCACTCCAGGATCCAGGCGGCTGTGCATGACCTGCAACAGGCTGGGCGGCAGAATTCCGTCGTCCTGTCCGTCTGTGATGGGGACGACGGGTGGGAACAGAAAGCAGCAGTGAGAACCAGTTCCACATGATGGAGACTGCAGTGTGAGGGACCGACGTGAAACCCCTGAGAAAAAACCCTGACGATCTGTACCCCAAAGCCTGTCTGGGCAGGTGTGGACCATATGAGGGCACAAAAGTCCATGCCAATAACAACTCCCAGGGTCAATAATAACACTGAGGCCCGGAGAGGTGTGAGGAGCAAATTACCAGAGCTTTGTATTTTCCAAAGACCAAATAATGCTGTAGGTGACCGCAACGGACCAGAGACACGTCTGCAGGTGACGCTGTAGGCTCCATTTTAACCTTCTCTTTCCTTTTCCCTCAGACGGTTCAAGTAAACAGAAGAACAGACCCTAGGAAAACCAGGCAGCTTGAGGACAAGAGGCCGACAGAAATCTTCTTTAAAGGCCTCCTAACCCATCCATGTATGTCTCTTCTATCTGATCTGGATAACTTCAACCAAATGAAAATCTATTCATAACCTCAAAAGGGTTTCCACACAAGCAACATCTGCCACTATGATCAGCTTACAAGCATTGGGTATTTCTGGATGAACTTTCTTGAAATCATTTTAAAACTTAACATTAAAATTTAATCATTTCTGGGACCAGCAGGTGGCATAATGGTTATGTCACTGGACTCCCACATGGCCAACTGTGGTTCGAGTTCTGGACCCAGTGGCTCGGAACTCACATCAGGCGCATGTGCATGCATGCCCAAGATCTTAAGAGCAGAATGGAGGAGAAGGATTGTGGCGTGGCCATCCCCTGCAGGGGGTGACTTCTCATTTTCTGTCTTCCTGCCTCTCTAGGTCACACATGCCCTGTAGCAAAAGTCTCTCTCTAAAAAACAAAACAAAACAAAACAAAACGAACTAATCATTTCTTTCTAATTCTAAAGTATATGTACTAAAAGAATGTTATTGACCAGAAAAGAAAGACCATGTTGCTACCTACAGTTAATATCTTTGCCTTAGTGCTGAAGTGTACTTCACCGATTCCTCATGAATCAAAGTACTCACTGAAAAGCCAGCACACATTCAAGCTCTGTCACTTTTGGTAGTAGTTTTCAAAGGCTTTATGAAGAAATTTGTCTTTGGTATGGATGGCTCTTGGAAATAATTTTATAACTGAAAATGAATTTGAAAAGATACATCTATCGGAATATATACATGTATAAATTGAAACAGAGGGAAGCTTAGTAAAAGGATCCGGGAAAAGAATATAAAATGTCTTTAGTTTCCCACCCTTCTGAGATGACTTCATAAAAGAGGCTAGTAGGTACATCAGCTTACATGGTACAAGGCTTTCTAGTCTCATGATATTTTTTCCATTATTTCACAAGAGCAATCTTTAGAAGTAGTGAATGGTTCTATTGTATCTTTTAAATGATGATCCCACATAGTAAATCTATCAACATTTAGTGCTTTCTCCAAAAAGGATTTCAGATGCCTTTGCCATCATTCAGAATAGGGAGCTGTTATTTAAGGGAGGCTGTGTTAAAATCAATAACATGATCCTTCAGGAAACTTTAGCATCGTCTCTGAGAAGAGCCACAGATCTCAATTTTCTCTAGGAAAAATACGACTGATGACATAGGCATCCTATGACCTGAAAATTCGTATTTCATCGCCAACTTCAGATCGTGATGTAACATTATTCGCCACGAACCTCACAGCGAGGGGGCACACGGAGCCCTCCCTCCCATTTCCGTGACTGACTCACACTCTCACAGAAAAGCCGCGTGCTTGAGCTGAGTTCATAGGGTGACGGGGCAGATGAGGCCTCCCCAGACCCCTGAGGTCGTGTGTCTCCTGGGAGTTTCACCATCATCATCACAGGCAGGGAGATCCCTATCCCACAAGGGAGGGACATGTCGGATTGTTACCTTAATGTACAGTCTCAGGAAAAAAGTTACCACCCCCATCCTCTGTACTTGAAGCCGTCCCATTCAGCTATCCCCAAACTCCCTGATACATCAGAAAACCAAGGCGCTTCAGGAAGGGGTGGGATGTAGCTGGGTAGGACTATGCCAAGTGAGCATCGCAGTCTGGGCCACTGGGGTCACCCTTCTGCTGGGTCTTAGTGGAGCCACAGGTGTGGAGGACAGGTGCTCCAAGACACGGCCTGAGCCCCAGGGGGCTACAGTCTGCACAGGAGCGGATGGAGAGAGACAGTGAATGAAAAGTCTTGCGTGGCCTCTCGTTCACCCTTGGAAACTATGGCGGGATGGCTGGGCTCTAAGTACATGGAACCTCAGAACAGCACCACCTGGCCTGGCACAGTCTGCAACCCAACAATTGTGCTGGAAATAAAACAGCAACACTCAGTCTCACTACTTCGGCAGTCTTGCTCCTATTCCCGCCCTTGGCTTCACCTGTCCCCCCACGGGATACCCTCATGTGTCACAGCAATGATGTCACAGCTCTGTCTTACCCGTGTTAGAATTCTCCACTACCAAAAAGGCAACGGAGTCAATGGATGTATCTGAAGAGTTGACACCTGCTGACCCACACTCCCTCCGAGTGAGGAGCGGATATGATGGGTAATCGCCCATCTGTTTACGCACTAATCAACGGGACAGAAACACAGAGGTGGAAAGCGAAGAAGGCAGACATGATGCTTACTTTCTCTGAACGCGTTGCAGTAGCCAAGGAAAGACAACAGAAAGAACAGGGCACACAGCAGGTCTGCACGGCCGACAACACCAGCAACCTTAAAAGAAGGGAAGAAAAAAAAATTTACATAAAAAACATTGAAGCAAATCTTAAGCTCAGGAAATACAAAAAATTCCTCAGACATATAAAACAAGAAACTTCCTAGACTGTCGCCTATTAAAATAATCTGGGTAGCTGTGCAACCCTGTGGTGTCATCTTACAACTGGTTCTCTACTCCCTTTTGGTCTAAAACTTGATTTATATGCTTCCAAGAGAAAACCAGATTGGTCTGAACCTACTGGTAGCTGTTGTGTGAGCCGGGCATGAGCTGAGGTACATGCATGTAAGTCAAGGTCCTCTTCTTCCACACGCTACACTCAAGAGCTCCAGAGACAGGCTTCTGATGGCTCCACAGTGGATTTTCAATTGGAAACTGTGATCGGCTCAGAGTGGCACGACATTTAAAAATTAAAATTTGATTGGAAACACGAGGGGCATAAAGGGGGAAAGCGGTGATAAAAGCCCCCAGGCAGAAAAGGGAAGATACAGGAGAAATCCTTCCAAGCTGTGTCTGCCATCTTTGTCTCCCTTCAGATCAACACTGACTGGGTAGGGTTAAAGCCAAATGTATCAAAAAGGGTAAGTAAGATGAAAACAGAATAACATTTCTACCATGCTCCTGCCCCCATTTCCCACATGCTAACTATACCTCTCCCTTCCTCTACTTAGTGAAAATGAAGCAGTATAAAAATCTGGATTTATTTCTTCCAGTCTGATGACTCCAAGAACTATTCTCCAAGTGTCTTGTAAGACATGGAATTCCACTCATGAGTGTGGGTCTAGCTTATGTGGGATTCTTCTATTTAGCCCCTGATGGTGCCTTGTGGCAAAGCTTTTGCTGTGGCTCACAGGACGTGGCTTTTAAGGCTCAAAGTTACTCATTTCTCAAAGAGCAGATAAGTGACGTGTGAGATGCAGACAGGCCATGGCACTGTCGGTGGCCATTTAGGTACTGGGCTGCACAGCAGGTGAGCGGCTGGCAAGTGAGTGAAGCTTCATCTGTATCTACAGCCGCTCCCCATCATTTGTATTATGGCCTGAGTCTGCCTTCTGTCAGACTGGTGCTAACATTAAATTCTCATGGGGGCATGGTAGTTAAGGCGTTGGACTTGCACATGGTTGAACGTGGTTTGAGTCCCAGACCTGGGAACTTGCTTTCTTACTCGCTTGCAAACCCCACTGTGAAGGATCTAGGTTGCATGCTTTCATAAACTCCCATAAACATCACCCTACGCCCGCATCCATGGAAAAATTATCGTTCACAAAACTGGTTTATAGTGCTGAAAAAGTTGAGGACCGCTGGACTAAAGGGCTGTTTGATAAAATGTAGAAAAAAGAATAAATAATGACTATGAAAATTACTATTGGGTTGTCAGAAAAGTCATAACTTTTTTTTTTTTTAAATTTTCCCATGCAAAAATGCGTCATGAGTTTTCCGACAACCCACTATATCTACACGCGATTCTCCAGTGCATGAACAAAAACAGTGCTACAGCAGAATGCTTGTTAGAAGCATCTGCTAAGGAGCAGCCTACACTACCACCACTTTTTCTAATAAATGTAAACAGAGGTGTGTTCATTACCCAAATCCTTACTTCCCCTACAACAGGCTCCACCATGGCAATGCGGCAATGCGAGTCCACTGCCCCCTCTAGTTCTGACCCCTGCTGGGAGCATAAGTGGCAGCCTGTGGTGTCACACAGTGGCTAAAAGGTCTTACTAAACAGCTGAAGACTTCAACCTGTGAATACCACACAGGTGGAATCCAGACCGAGAAGGAACAAGTACAGCGAGAAGGAACAAGTACAGCGAGCTGCAGGGTTAACCCACAGGGCTTTTAATGAATGAGACGAATATGCAATGAGTCCCAGAACACCCAGGGCTGGAAACTCACTTCAGTCAGGGAGACAGTCAAATAATCAGGGCTGCAGCTACACAGACCTGAGCCTGGCAGGACGGTGCAGCTCAGTTAGTGCCTCTCGGCATCCCACGGGCATTGGAGGAGGGGGGGGGCTTCTATAAATAGGAGCAGAAAGGAGGAAGAAGAACCACGGGCCCTCCAGGGAGCAGGGTGTCAGCTCTGCTGCCCCCAGAGGGAGGAAGCAGCCAGAGCATCCTGGCTCTGCAGGCCTCCTCCAGAGTGGAGAGGGCAGCGAGGAGCTCCTTAGAGCTGAGGCTGTCTACTGCCTGAGGACGCACCCAAACCCGAGCCCTCCGAGAAGGGAAAGTAACTGAAGCCAGTCCAGAGAAGCTTGGTCTTCCGCGTGGCCGCAGCTTTGCAGAGCAGCGCCACGACCGCAACCTCCATGGCTAGGCCGCTTGCATTCGCTTATCTTCAAGGAAACACTTTTCTTTTTGTTAAGTGTTGAAAACAGTCTCAAGACTTCAAGCAACATGCATATATTGTCTGATATAAAAACAAACGTTTTAAAGTTTGGTATGTGTTCTCAATAAGAGAATAATTATTTAGTTCTGACAGTGAATTTTTGGCACAGTAATTAGAAATTTCACAGGAAAAATGTTAAAAGACTATGCAAGGAGAGACTATCTAATTGCTCTTTGCAGAATGGGCATAAACAAGAAAAGATTTTTTTCTTTTTCTTTCCTGATATTTGCATAATCCATATTTTCAGCCCAACTTCTCTATAAAGGCTGTTTTTTCCCCTTATTTAATAACTTGAAACACTCACATCAGGGTTCTCAGAAATCTCTATGATCCCCCTGAATCCAGAACGTGGGGAATACTGCTGCTTCTCCAAAAGGAGCAGTTTGTACAGGGTCGTAGGAAAGACTGGGAAGAGGGGCGAGGGGGAAAGTACCCCCCAACCCTTGTGTATTTAAGTCTGGGCTCACTGGACGGGCACGCCCGAAGGAGACCTGAGCTTCTCTCTTTGATATCAGAACTCAGGCAACTGGACATCTTCAACAATGCTCTGAGGAAAAAGAAAAGTAAATCCAACACAGGGCACTCATGTCTGGAGAGAGTCCGGGGGCCTCCACCCTGAGGCCGTATGGGAGGCTGAGCCACAAACAGCCCCGGGGCTGGACAGCCTCCTCAGCTGTCCTCCTTCCAGGGGAGTCTGGTCTGCCAGAGGCCTTACCCGTAATCAGAAAACAAGCCAGGGTGATGTGGGGTGGCATGTTTGGGAAGAAGAGACACTCCCATCAGTTGGGGAGCAAGTATCAGGGGGTGATGACCTTACTACCCATCAGAGAATGAAGGTAGCACCAAAGGTAGCTGGTACCAGCTCATCCTGGCTTATCTGGGGCTTCTGGTTCTCATTGTAAGTTCCTTTCCTTCATGAGAGAAAGAGAGAGAGAGAGAGAAACACAGAGACAGTGTCAGGGACCCCCCCAACTGGACATGCTACAGTCGGCCCCCAGCTTTCCAGTCAGCCAGGATTACAGGCACACCCTGTGCAATCAGGTGGCCTCGGATCTGAGCCCTGGCCTTCCCGGATGGCTTGAGCACTACACAGCAGTGCCCCACCACCTGAGCCACCATGGCTGGGCCTGTACTGGCTTTAAAACAGCAAGTTGCAAGTCCCAGCCACTCTCATCAGCACAGTGGATGGCTGGTCACCCTAGAAAACTGAAACACGTAGGAGCTTATCTGTAGTGGATAAAAACATGTTCAGTGAACGGTGCAGACTGGTAGACCCTGAACGCAATGAGGTCCTGCGCTGCCACTACCTTCCTGGAGGGAATGCAAGGAGAGGCACATTCACTACCCAGATCCTTGTCCTTATTCTGCAAGGGACAGACATGCAGTCTGGGGACACTGTGCCCAGGGCGCTTAGAGAACAGGGCTTGTCCCTGGGGCAGCCAGTTCACCTGCAGGGGGCTCCCTGCCACCTGCCACCTGCCTTCGTGAGTGTTCTGCTCTTCTGTGCATTTGGAAAGGTGGAATTTTAAAATGGAGAGTGGGAGATAACAAGTGAGTAGCAGGATGAAGGGTGAACATACAAAATATCTGTCTTAAAATGATCCGTAACTATTTTCTGAAATCTGAGTTTGGATGACTGTCATGGAATGGAGCGGGGGGAGATGAAGGGATTTTTCAAATACTCCATCTTGCCGACAGCAAGGCCTGCCTCCGTTTCCTTTTAAAGATCTGGGATGCGGACTCTGAAGATTAACACATTCCCAGATTGCATTTATCTGGAGAGGTGTGTGTGTGTGTGTGTGTGTGTGTGCGTGCGTGTGCTCTCGTGTGCGTATAAGCACATCCAATTATACTTCTTGGCACTTGAAACCTTTCTGAAAACCAATTTCTTAATACTTAAAATCAGAATTTTAGAAAACTTCCTTTGGTGAATACTTCCAATACTTCATTTTGCTTTTTAGATCATGCTAAATTAGACAAGTGAAACCAGGATTCAGTACTTTCTGGAGATCCATTTAGTTACGATCAATGTGGACACTATTCTAGGTAACCACAAAAATTTAGACCATAGAGAATTCAGGTTGAAACAAATTTGAATTTGCTCCTAGGCAGGTAGAAATACAGGATGAGCTAAATGTTACAACAGCAATTCCCAGCCTATCAAGTAAAAAAGAAAAGAAAATACGAAAAGGTATTAGGAGAACAGAGGAGAACTCCACGGTTCTCTTGACGCTGAATAACAGTTTGATAAAATTAGATGCTAAAAACAGGAATTCTGCTCAACACTTAGAAACTGACCTTAAGGTGCTCAGTACGACAACTGGTTAAATGAAGAAATTTACATCCAATGAAATGCAGAAGTCTAATGTAGATGTATCAATAATATCGATAATAAGGTACGTGCAGTGCTTTCTACCAGGCAGGTCAGGGCCCAGCGGGGGTGGTGGTTAAGGCGCTGGACTCCCACGTGGCTGACCCCGGTTAGAGCCCTGCACCTGGTGGCTTGCTTTCTCATTCTTTCTCTCTCTGTCTCTCCCTCTCTCATTCTCTCTGGTGAGCACATGTGCCCTATAGCAAACTCAATAATAATAATAATAATATACGAATAATTCTTTTTTAAAAATGTATACCCGGTACTTCATCTTCACAGAACGATGACTAAAATGAAATCTTCTACCTGAACACACACGCTGATGTACATTTTCAGAGGGCTCAGGTGGTGGTGAGGTGGGGTGGTTCCTGAAAACCTCACAAATAATCTGGTAAATCCCAGAACCATCTGTACCAAATACACAAGACTCCGAAAAGTTTTGGAAAAATAGAATTAAAAGTAGGAGTTTTATTTTGGTGTACAAGTGTATGTTCTGTGAAAAAAAAATTTTTTTTTTACTTTGCCAGAAGGCATGTGTATTCAGCAGAGAGAGGGAGACCGAGAAAGCGCCTCCCCCTCCCATGGGAGGAGGTAACGCTGCAGTCCCTTCTCTTTCCTTCTCCTTTCTGTTGGGGTTCGAGGCACACACATGGATGCAACCAGGGTGTTTTCAAGTCACAAGGCCGCAAACTGAACCACGTGATTGGTCAGGTGGGACCCAGTTTCTAAGCACCAGCCCACGAGATGGCCTCTGGGAACTGTTGGAAGACCCCTTACACTGAGCAGCAACTCAGGGGAATAGAGATAAGCCCACCGGAGAGCTCCTGTCAGGGGGAGGGCAGAGCAGAAGGTGGGAAGAGTGTGGTGTGGAGGGTGTGGAGACCAGCTTTCTAGTTCAGCCTAAACACACCAGCACCGCCTCTGCGCGGGCCTCAGACGCCCAGAATTCACGTCCTATCCCACATCCACCTGCAGCTGACCCTGGACATGTCTGTTCTGTATCCTCCCAGGCCGTTCTGTCACCTGTGAGGTACAAATTGTGATGCCAGCCCATCTGCTGTCACAGAGGACATCATGTTTGGTATATGAAAGCATTTTGTAAATCAGAAAGCTGTCGGCTAACATAGAAAAACTGCATCCGAACCCTCGGCAGTTTGACCCCAAAGCCAGGCGCTATTCAACACGCACACCTCCACCTCCACCTCCATGGCGGCGCAGTCACACACGCTCAGCAGCGGAGCTCACACCACCTTGACCATCCACTCTCCACCAATGTGGCATCTGCATTTTCTCCTACGAGAGACGCCGTTGACCCGACATAACTGCTTGAGTGTCTCACCGGGCGCTTATGGAGCGTTCTATTTATAGACACTCTGTGCAGCTCTGGAATCGGCATGAGAGCACGAGGGAGCCTGTGGCAGGAGGGGAGGGGACATACGATGCTCTCTCGCTTCCCTCTCTGCACGCACATGCCGGGAGCGAGGGTACTTACACACTCAGTGTGCACGGGATGAACAGCGAACAGCAGGGCAGCCAGCAGGGATGCCCTGGGGGCGAGGTGCACCCTCCGGCCTTTGCTGGTGTACTGCAGGCCGCCGAACAGCACGGAGAAGACGTCCACCAGGAGCACCGAGATGCCGCCGTGCAGGAGGATGTTGACCACGTGAAAGCCCACGGGGTGGAAGCCGCCCGACAGGTAGTAGTTCATCCTGCAGCAGACACAGGTGTGCACACAGGTGTGCAGGAGCACGTGAAATGAAAGGGCAACAGTGTGAGGAGCAAGGCCTCCGTGTGAAAGACCTAAAAGGGGAGTGAGACTCTGACTGACTGGGAAAAACAGCACCACGATAGGGCAGGCCTGCCAAGCTAAGGCTGACCAAACTGTGTGAACATCAGTAACGGCAGAGGGGAAGGAATGGGCACATTCAAGGTGGGACTGAAACTCTCGGAGGGAAAATTGAAAGCAAAGCCAGGGAACTTTTTTTTTTTCCCCATTTGCCAGAGGGTGCACGTGCATGCCAGGGAGAGAGAGAGGGAGGAGACCACGGTTATGACGCAATCCCTCCTCCTCCCTTTCTCCATCCTGTCTGGGCACGTGAAATGAAAGGGCAACAGTGTGAGGAGCAAGGCCTCCGTGTGAAAGACCTAAAAGGGGAGTGAGACTCTGACTGACTGGGAAAAACAGCACCACGATAGGGCAGGCCTGCCAAGCTAAGGCTGACCAAACTGTGTGAACATCAGTAACGGCAGAGGGGAAGGAATGGGCACATTCAAGGTGGGACTGAAACTCTCGGAGGGAAAATTGAAAGCAAAGCCAGGGAACTTTTTTTTTTTCCCCATTTGCCAGAGGGTGCACGTGCATGCCAGGGAGAGAGAGAGGGAGGAGACCACGGTTATGACGCAATCCCTCCTCCTCCCTTTCTCCATCCTGTCTGGATCTGGGGCATGCATGCACATGCCTGGCATGTGTTTCACGCTGCTGGGACAGGAGTTCAAACCGCACAGTTGGCTCTGTGGGATCTGCTAGGCCATGATCCAGCGCTAGGCCATTTTTTAAGTGCAATAATGGCAAGATTGCATTCCGAGGAGATAGAATACACCATGCCTCAGTCATGGCTACCCCACAGGGACCTGGATGTAAGGTGGTCATGTAACTTGCTTAGCCACAAAGGTGACCCTCTGAAACATGGCAGCCAGAACGTGGCCAGTGAAACCTCTCACTGCCAGGGTGTCTTATTTGTGACTTCTCATTTGCTGGTGGTTCCAATGCATCATTCTGGGGTTCTCTGAGAGGTCTAAGCACAAGTATTCAAATGTACCCGAGTAACAGGTGTGAATGAGAACCTATGCAAGGCAAAATAAATAAATAAATAAATAAATAAATCTATTTAATGCCAATAGTTCCCTATCAATACCATTTGCATATTGACTTAGTAACCATAGGAAGATTTATACCTTACATTTTTTGTAGTGGAAGAAAAAAATCAATTTCACTAGAGGCCGGATGCTGCTTTGATTCGTATCATTCCCCCAGGGTTAGCTGGCAAAGGATTGCACCCTTAGAACTGAGGGCAACACAGCGCCCTTCACCGACGCTCACGGTGGGTGTGCGGGTTCATGCTGACCTCGCATCACTCCGTGCTGGGCTGCGCACTGCTGAA